CTTGCCAATTGCTTAAAATTAAAATCAATTAGGAAAGGTTGTCAGTTTTTTCCTTTGGCTCAGAAAAGCCTACTGAGAAATTATACGAGGTAGTAGAATTAAAATTTTCTAGTAGATACAATCCTAATCGGTGTATTCAAATTGAAGTGTAGTGGCCGATATTACAGCGGCATCTGGTTCTGTTCCAAATCAAGAAGTAGAAAATAGTAATGCAGTCCCCGGATTAACTCTTAGCCGACGCTGTGACAGTGATATAACCATTGAGATATTAATTGGGCGATGTTTTTGGCATTATTGAAGCTTCATTTTCGAAAAAATAAAACCAGGAAATTACTTTCGTGCAACGATTTTCGGATTTGCTTTACAGGGAAGTCAGATGTTACAAGCCAAATGTAAGACTGCAGTTCAGCGAATTTTTGTGTAACCGCTTCAGATGTTCAGCTATTATGCGAGCTGATGCTTTAGGAATTAAAGAAAAAGAAGACTTAAATGTAGTTGATTAAAGCGTTGATAGATGAATTTGAGAAAAATTTAACATTCTTGAATGAGAGATATAAAATTGATATATTATGGAAGTTTAGATTAAGAATGAATTAGGAAATAATTATATTTTTAGCTAAAAAGATGTTTTGATGAGTTAGGAAAGGATTTTTCTAAAAATGATTTGGGTTGCTAATGAGTATAGGGAATATAATAAATGACCAAAAACAAAATGGAAGTTATTGAGGGAATGTGAGAGAGATGAGCATGAGTATTTTATGCCTCATAGAGCAGTTGTTTAGGGAAGATAAAGAAACAACCAAATTTCGTATAGTCTTTAACTGCAGTTCAAAATCTAAAGGTAATCTTTCTTTAAACGATTGTTTGGAAAATTGGCCCAAATTTAAATCCAAATTTTCTTGACGTGATTCTAAAATTTCGTAATTACAAAATATTTTTTAATGGGGATATAGAGAAGTCTTTCTTAATGATAAAAATTTCTGAAAGAGAGAGAAAAATCTTAAAATTTCTTTGGTATTCAGATAACCTTAGTGAAGAATATAAAATTATGAGAATGAAAAGACTACCCTTTGGATGTAAAACTTCCCCTTTCATTTTGAGTGCTACGATAAAGCATCATATAAAAAAATATAAGGAAAGTAAACCGAAGTCATTTGAAATGTTAAATTCATCACTTTACGTAGACGATTTATGTTATGGTGGGACAGTTGTGAGAGAATCATTTGATTGTCGTCGGATGCTGTATCAATATTAAAGAGTGGTGGATTTAATTTAAGGAAACTGAGGTCGAACAGTAGAGAATTAGAAAAATTGTGGATAGAAAATGGACTTAGTGACAGTGAGATAGTGGAAGTTCAACAACTGAAAGTCCTAGGGTTGAATTGGAATCCTGATAGAGATGAGTTGTCGTTGGAGGTGAAGGGTCTGGTGGATTCATGGAAAACGCTGCGACGCACTAAAAGATGTGTTTTACAGACAGCTGCAAGAATCTTTGATCCTATTGGTTTGGTTGCGCCGTTTGTGATACGTATAAAGTTATTGTTACAGGAAATTTGGGAGAGAGCGTGTGATTGGGACGAAGAATTGCCGGAGGACTTGCAGCAAAAGTGGATAACGTGGTGTAAAGAAATTGAAAAATTGATAGACGTTACTATTCCGAGATATTGTTTTCTGGATTGTGAGAATTGAGAAGTGAATTGTGTTTCAAGTTTGTAGGTTGGAGCAAGAGTAAAATATTTATGATATTTATTGTGTAGAGTTTTGATTTCCAGCCCATTCCACAAAGAGGTGAACATAACAGGGAAGAAGCAAACTTTTTTCTTTTTCTTTCCCCCTTTTTTTTCTTTTAAATCTGGTCCGAATGTAAGAACTTTTGAATGTAAGTAATTTTGTAATGGTAACATTTCAGACTTAGAGTATGGGGTATGACAAATCTGTCAATCCCAAGTGCACCGGTAAATCCATGAAAGTTATTTTTATGCAGTAGCTGTTATTTGGTTTCAAACCGACTTCCTTCCCTTGCCAAGTTTAAAGTTCAAAATATCTGTCTTTTCGAATTCTTAAAATTATTTTATTCAAGATGTTTGTAGACAACCGATGGGAATTTGATACCTTAACGTTCTAAATTTTTATAAGAGCGTTTAACAAGAATGATCGTTTTGATAAAACAGTTTTGCGAGAAGAACGTCTGAATCTGATAATGATAGTCACTGCGACAAGAACAATACAAAATTTTCGTAAGTAATGAAAAAATTATGTTCCATTGTTCCTTTTGTGTCGCAAAATATTTGCGATGTGCTTGTGTCACATATGAGTAATTTTCATCTTTCGATGTCATCAGTACGTATTACAGCACGATTCAGAGGTTAACTATTGAATTATTCTTTTTACTCTTCACCAAACAAAATTCCGTTGCCTCGAGTATTGGCATAGAAAATCAAGTCACTTTGACCAGGGTAGTTATTATAATTTTTATCCATATTTTTGTACGTATTTTGCGACAGAAAGAAAACACACGAGAACAAGGAAAGGATTAAGTAAAATGGATGTTCAAGAAACAGTAAATTTTTATTTTAAAAAGGTTTGATTGCCAATTGTGAATGTTAAATATACTTATTTTGAGGCAGCAGATTTCCTGACTTTGAACATCATTGGAAAGACTGCTAAGTCAAAAATATTTGAGACTGGATGGTCTAGATCAAGGGTTCTCAACCGGTGGTACGCGTACCATTGGCGGTACGCAAGAGAAAAATAGGTGGTTCGCAAAGAAGCAAAGTATTTTTAACTATTAAATTCAAAAATAAACCCCAACATGCTGATTGAGTTTTTTTCTCTAACACTCGTAAATTTATGCGATCTAAAAGCTTTGTTCAAGAGTGGTGGTAGTAGTAGTACTTTGTAGCGGTAGTACTAAAGGTTTTCAATTTTTGTTTAGATGGTATGCGTTAGTCAAAAGGTTGAGAACCGCTGGTCTAGATGCATTTTAAAAATCGCGTGAGAACAGCAGCGTAGTTAAAAGTTTGTTTCGGAGGCATAAAGTCAACCAATTTGTACGAGAATATCTGAATGAATTAATTCAGTTATCATTTATCCATATCATTAATCATGTTATATTTACCTAGTTTCCTAAATAAATAAACAAATAAAAATGCAATTTTTTTAAAGAATGATTGAAATTATTGCGAAATCTAATTGTGTCATACAGAGAGATTTCAACTACAAATCGGAGTTTTACAAGTAATTACTATCAATAAATGGTACTATTCCGGTTTGAGGACCGTAAAAAATCGCCAACATATTGTTGCTGCCAAAAATAATTGCGGCAACTCTAACGCAAGAAAGGAAATATAATAGTAAATAACTATCTAAAGATTATTGTTTTAATTTATATAAAAGGTTAATTTCATATAATGCTTTTTTTATTATTATAATTTATATAAAAAAGGCTAAACATAACTGAATGGGAGCATAAGAGTAAATAACTATTTCAGATCATTATTATAATTTATATATAAAAAAAGCTAAACATAACTGAATGGATTCCTGCATCGCTATTTCGCTACCGAGTTATCGATAATGCATAATTTCATCTCGTTGGTTGTTCAAACATAATTTTCTATAATGAATGATGTCTTTTCTTTGAAAAAATTCTATTGCAGACTTTTCGTTATGGGAAATTCCAACATTGTTAAATCCATAGGATATCAAAAAAGAATTTAAAAATTAAACTAGTATTTCATTGGCGTTTTAAGAAATATAGAACTATCTAAACTTACGCAATCTGAAATCAGCTCGTACGCTAGATTTGACGCACTATTAAATGGCCCCGTTTGCTAGATTTGGAGCTTTTGCGCATCCATTTTCGTTGCAATTTTTTTCGATCCTCAAAACGTAATAGTACCCAATAAATTTTGCATTAGAAGAAATTAAAACGTTAATACATAGACTGCTTTAATAATAGGCCAGTATTATAATACAGCATAATAAAATATTTGCTTTTGAGTAATTCACTTCTCAAAGCATGACTAGAATAAGAATAATATTTTCATTCCTCGAAAAATGGAAATATTTTCATCATTATCAGCAAGATGAAAAATTATTTTTTAGGATTCTAATTAAATTTTTAAACATAAATTATTAGAAAAATTCATCACAATATTAACTAACGACTTAAACGCTCAGTGAATTAAATCTTCAAAGTAATCTTGTGGAGAAGGGACACAAGGTGCAGTGACTGATCAAGTCTGTGTCTGGAATCGAACTCGAGATCTTCGATTTACCAGCCCGATAGGCTGACAGTCACTTTACAAAAACATGTGAGACAGATGCCTTTAATTCTTTACTCTACTCTTATCTAAAGGCACGGCACTTAATTTGAAGAAGAATTATCAGCCAATCCGTCTTTGACCAACAATAATTCGTCATCAAATTTGGACTAAGAGATTGCAGGCAGACTAGAACATTCTCTGTTAACCAGTCCAGATTTGATGGTGAATTATCTACGAATTAATTCAGACGCTATTTGAATAGAAGGGAGGAGTCTGGAAGTGAGAGTATTGAAACTTTTCTGGAATTGAAAACGAATTATTTTGTATGCTGGACTGATTTGCTAATTTTTGCAGCACAAGAGAATAACATACTTAGTTCTTTAATTTTAAATAATTATAATAATTATGAATGCGAAGAAATTGTAAACTAGGACCAACTATAATAATTACATTTACATTAAAAATTTCACTAAAGTGTAATTTTCACTTAGTTTTGGGCAGCTAGTAAAAGCTAACCTATATGATTTCATTTATTCAACTTTCTCTCTCTACTAAAAGTATTATATCTCTCCCCATATGTCATGAAATTTGGTTCCCACATTATTTGCACGACCTACTCTTTTCTAGTAATGACTGGTGATAAGCTAAGAGGTTTTTTTCAAAGTTCATGAAATATAATTTAGGGAAACACAAGAAGAACAGATATTTCTGACATGTGAATGTGATAATTACCTGCTGTCATCAGACACCGTTTGATTAAACATATCCTCATCATAGCATGCTCCCTGGAAAAGTAAAACAGAAAATTTACCTAACGTCATCATATGCCGTTTGTTTAAAAGTTCACATCATAGCAAACTCCTTCGACAAATAAAGCAGAAAACTATAATAGAAACTTGTATTTGTTATTAAAAGTGATGTCCGAAATATAGATTTCTGGATCAGTTCAATTGGCTTTATAAAGCGACGTAACGTTTTTTTGTGAACCGCTGATATTTGTGCTTAAAATAGGGACAATTACGCCTAAAGTACATTCAAATCACTTATGTTTTAAAGTACAAGATAAAAATTTACCTGCTGTAAAGTGAAAGAATCAACGGAAATATAACTGTATGTTATTTTCCTATAAAGAAAACAATTGAATTAATGCGTTGTTACCGAAAACAGTTAATAAAACCTGCATGTGAATAAAATTTTAAAATTTATTATATAAATTCAAGTAATTAATGATATAAAACATCAATAGTATGAACATTCAAAGTTAATGAAAAAATACTTGTTAGCAAAAATAAATCATATTGACTCTTCAATTAATAAAAGCTTTTTTGGCAAGCAGCTATCAGATTGTAATCAGTTTAAGTCTTAGCTATTCGAAAATGGCCTAATGGCCTTCAAAGAAAGGAAAAAGGAAAAAAAAAAAAAAGAGAGAGAGAGAGAGAACTAAAAAAAGAGGGGGAAAAATTGAAATGTTTCAGATTTTAAATTTACTTCCAAAGGGGCGTTTTTTTTAACACTTTGTGTATTACATTTATTTATTAAATATCACGTTCTTCGAACCTTAAACCATAAAATTCAGTTCAACAGCAATATCGCAAAATAGTTTTAAAAATGAGCATATCTTTAGAATTTTCGATACAGAGACTCAGCATTGGAGATAAAAATGTTTTCTCTGTACAACGTTGTCATTGCTCGCTTTGAAATCCTTGAGTTTGTTAATCAAAAATTCGTTAAAGTTTTACAAAATAGGAAATAGATAATAAAACAAATTCCAAATTTCAAATTTGGTCTTCCATATGCCCATATTCGTAGGAGGATTACGTCATTTAAAATTCGATGGCTCTATGTACCGTTGTTTTATCACAATGCGAGAAATATACATACATTTATGCAGATTTTTCATTATTTAATTTGTTTAAATATAACAAAGGGCGATAATACTTTGTGGCAACAGTTTGAAAAGTGATTCGCCGTTTGTAGGGAATCAACGCAAAATGGCAAAACGAAAACAATGGTCTTTCAGGGAACAAAAGGAATTCACATTTGTGTTCATTAACATGGGCAACAATATTTCCGTTTAAAAAGAATAGACATTTCTGTTTATTAACACTGCCAACAGTAATTTTAAAAAGAAACATTTGACGTCGGCTATAATTCTTTTAGTATCGTCTGTGATTTTGTTAATATGCAGTATTTCGTAGATACGTTTGTTTTCGTGTTTGTCGTAAGAATTATGGGGGAAAAAAGTGTGTCCTAAGAGTTATGGGGGAAAAAAAAAGTGTTTTCTACAAAATTTAGTCTCAAGTACTGCTTGATGATTTTCTACATCGAAAGCTCGCCCCGGCGTTTTTGAACCTTTGGAAGCAAAAAAGGGCAAGTGAAAACTTTTTTTTTTTTTTTTAATTTAGAAATTTTGACCTTTTAGAATTCTGAAAAATTTTACTATAGTTTTTCAACAATTAGTATATTCTAGGCTAGTATTGCTAGAAATTGGCTTTTGTATTGTAATTAGTTCCAGCGAAATATACAGTTTCTAATAATTGAGACAAAATAAAATTTTTGGTGATTTTGTAGTTTATACAGTTTCTCTTAAGGCGTACTTTGAGGAAATATTTGCGTATTATTTTATCACGAGAAAAATTCGAGACCCGTAATAATATAAAAAATGTGCAGTGAACTGCTAGAAAAGTGTGTTGCTGACAGGAATATGTCTTCAGTGTATTAAATAGTATTAATAATAAGTATTTGCAAACTATCCCTTTCGATTTCTTAACCTTTTTCTTGATCGGAATCAAACTCTAAAAGCACAGAACGCTACCATTCGTTTCGAGCTGATTTAACTTTTTATTTTGGAGAGTATCTAAGTTTTTAGGATAATATTGCCTATTTTTTCATATCTCAAAATAAAATAACGGCATTCATTCATAAAGATGTTACTCTTGTAACAGAAACCGTATTTCTAACTTGAGTGAACTCAGTAATGTAGCAACCTTTAAGCTGTATTTACATCATTGCCATCTTTCATCATCTACGAAACTTAAAAAATGTACCCAAAAATTGCTTCCCTCGCAAAGGTTTCAATGAGCCACTGACCAATTTCAAACGAAACAGTTAATGAGCGAGTGCATTTAATCATAGCGTTCTTAAATATTAATAATAATAACAATAATTCTGAAAGGATTTTAACGTCGCACTAGAAGTTTTGTTAGGGTTTTTAATGCTTTCGCTGAGTTCCCTGTTTAGCATTCTTCATTTGGATTCACTTCTACTAACATAGGTTTTCTTTTTTTAGCCCAAAGGGACAATTTGCCCAGAAGGGCTATTAATTTCGTTTTGGCATTTTGCGTTGATTCACTATAAACGGCGAATCACTTTTTAAATTGTTGCCACCAAATATTAGAGCCGTGTATTAAAGAAATTAAATAATGAAGAATCTGCATAAATGTTTGCATGTTTCTCGCACTGTGATAAAACAACGATACCTAGAGCCATCAAATTTTGAATAACGTACGTCTCCATCTGAATATGGACATCTGGAAGCCCAAATTTGGAATTTGTTTTATTATCTATTTATATTTTGTAAAGCATTAATGAGTTTTTGATTAAGAAATTCAAAGATTTCAAAGCGAGCAGTGGCAACAGTGTAAGGGGGAAAAAACAATCTCCAGCACGGGAGATCGGAAATTCTAAAGTTATGCTCTTTTAAATTATTTTGTGATATTGCTGTCGGATTGAATTTTATGGTTTAAGTGCGAGGAACATGATATTTAATAAATAAAGGTAACACGCAAAATGTTAAAAAAAAAAAAAAAAAAAAAAAAAAAAAAAAAAAAAAAAAAAAAGGTGCCTTTGGACGTAATATAAAATCTGAAAGCTTTCACATTTTTGCTTTGTTCTTTGTTTTGCATTCTTGACTTCATTATTAGACATTGATTTTTTCGTACTTACGCCTCATAAAATTCAACAGTAAAATAAAAATAATAAGAATAGCAGAAAATTATTTAAAATAGTCTTCACATATTAGGGATATAATTGCAATTTATTAATATATGCAATTTTCTGTAATAATTTCGTGTAAGTGATTTTTTCCTACATTAAGGAAGGTAAACAATTTCGTATAAAAGGCCGATTTCGCCTAAGGAATTAAAATTTTTATATTTCATATTAAAGGCCTTATCGCCCCCCCCCCCGCCAAATGGCGGGCACTTGTCTATAACGAACGGCAATGGCCACTACTAAGGGCAGAAATGGTGGTCATTTTATTGTGGAGGCACGTAATGGGCGGCCACCATTACCTCCTATGAAGGGGACTGACAGGTTTACTTCTATGCCTTCTCCTGTATTCGAGCCCGGGCCCTTCTGTATCGCAGTCAGGCTTCCCTAACCACCATACCGCATACCGCATAGGCGGCTTTAAAGGCTACTATCTATATATCTTTAAAGGCTACTATCTATATATCTTTAAAGGCTACTTTAAAGGCTACTATCTAAAGGCTTCTTAGCTATCAAAAACAACTTTTCTTGATATGTTGTTTAGATGTGGAGATGAACCGGTTTCTCTTAGAGACGACAAAGTATCCCTAACATCAAACGTCGAAGTTTAAAGGGCAAATTAAAGCCCCAATTTCCCCCTTTTTTCTGTATTATTTTTTAATTAAATAATTTTCAGCATTTCATTGCTTGGAGAATCTGGAAAAATATTTTCGTAATGTATTTTCTCAGTTTCGTTTGGGAACAAAATATCGAACTCTGTTTTGGTTACAACCAGTTACAGTTACATCCAGTTTAGGTTACGCTAAATCTTATTCCAAAGTTGCATTTGGACGTATATCTTTCGGCAATATTTTCTTTTTCTTTTCATAAGGTTCCATTTCTTGTAAGAACTATTCATAATTGATCAGCGGTATCTATCAGTATCAATCACCTAAATCTGCTTTTGGTTAAGCCTTCAAATTGTCTTTTAATTCTTCATTTGAGATCTCTGGTTTAAATAGAAGAACACAATATCCGAACTTAAAATTAAAGCTTAATTTTCAAAATTAAAAGTTCAGGAGGAAGTCAGGAAATAAACAAAAATTAAGTATATAAAATAAAAAGTAATTATAACAATAAAACTGAGTACAACTAATTAAAAAGAATACAAAATTGATATATTGGACTAAATTAATGACATATAGTTAAATGTTAGTAAAACTTAAAATATTAGAGATCATCTTATTTGTGTGCTCCGAAATTGGAATTACGAGTTTGCTCATTAACTGGAAATGAATTAAGACCCGTTTTAAATAGTAGATGAATTTTGTGTTGTAGATATCAGAAGGTAAAAATACTTACGAACATGGCATTCGACATTCTGGGTAACACTGGTCTTTTACAAGCTGGTCGTATTTCTTCAAGCATTGCACTGAAATTGATTGAAATTTTATTAGACATATTTTGTGACATTAAAACATCTGCAACGATTTTAAGTACTTTCTTATGGATAATTTATAAAATGTATATAGAAATACCGTTTGTTGATATTGTTTGATATTACGTAGGGTTTCAGTAACTGCGGTGATTGAAATGATATGTTTGTGCTTTGAAGAAAACACGTAACTGCTTTTCTACAAATCGTATTTGCATTAAACGTAGAAAGGAAATTCAGTTTTGATTACTTTGCTTTAACTGAAAATTTACGTGTAAAGATCATGAACTATCAAGAGAGTACTTCTGCAGATGTAAATTATTTTTAATGTCGTACAAAACTATAAACATTACTTCCTGCTTGTTAGGGGGTATTGAGAGTGATGGATACGAAGCAGAATTCTGCACTCCAAGGATAATACTGGATGTAAGTGTAATAACATATTGTTACGTTTTTCTTTTCTGACACCAGTTGTTGCGTTATTTTTTCCACGGGTTCGTGCAGATTTAGAGTGAATAACGACGACACTACTTGATTGAATATCGAAACACACTTTATTTACCAATATTAATCAGGACAGCTCCAAAATCACGTTACAGTCGTCGAAGAACTATTAACACGCTGACACAATCAGCGGTACAGCCTTCACACTATCAGGCTATAATGGAGACAGCTTTACTGCGAAGCACCAGAGTACAGCTCCCGACTCTGCTTGGTCGTTCTCGGAACTCCACGTACTCTCGAGACTCTCCACGCTACAACTCGCAATGCACTCGACGACACACAGATCACAGCTCACGACTCTTCGGTTCAGTCGTTCCCGGAGCTTAACACACTCTCTCGGCGATGCGCTAACCGCGACACGAAGAGACTCTTCGATGCACTCGACGACCCACTCGGCACTCGCTGGCCGGCTGTCCACTCGATCATTCTCCGCATGGACTAACTAGATGAAACACACTAACTCGCCCTCTCGACGAGGCACTCTCCCACTGACTGTGGGCCAGCAGGATTTATATAGCTTTCGGCTTGTGTTCGAGTTCCAGAAGATTCTCCAACCGTCCATGGTATATCGCCAATTTTGTCGCCAAATGTTGCCAAACGAGCGATTTCTCGGCAAATGTGGCAACCCTGCCTTCCCTTGCTAATTTATGGCAACCCTAAACCTGCTTTGCGGGGAAGCCATCTTACCGCGCCTGTACATTTCGCAACAATATGGTTTTAATTGGCACTTTGTTTACAGGATAGGCGAATAATGTGTGTCAACATATGATATATGAAAAAATAAGCAAGATGAGATAACACGTGGTAGCTTGACATGATATATTTGGGGTGGCATCTTTAGGGTCTGTTTTGGCATTATATTAGGTCGTCAGGTATTTGACTAAAATTCCATGCATTTCTTCATAGTAAATGCTGGCCGGGACTTGAAATTCACACTCTGCTGAACTTTTACTACGTGCACTGCGGGGGGGGATTTCCAAATTTGAAATTTGGGCTTTCAGATACCCATATTCGTAGTAGGATTACGTCATTCAAAATTGGATGGCTCTAGGCACCGTTGTTTTATCACACTGCGAGAAACACATACATTTAAGTTGACATTCGCTCCTACAACTCATCCGCCTTTTCCTAAATCTGGCAACAGCTACAGCAGCGAGATACTTCTTCAAGCTGCGTGAGGAAACGGACAGACTTGCATGCCGATGAGGTTATGACGTGGCGATGGATGGAATTGAACTATGCCGCTCGACAATGTTGCTTGATGATGCAATTCTGTTTCATGATGAATCGAACTTTTTATTTTACTTCCTTTCACTCTGTACGTACCATAATCATGTTTATTCTTTCATCATTAAATACCTTTAAAATGCCACTGCATTCCTCTATTTTAATCCTAATTTCATCACAGATTCATCATCCTAACCTCATCCCAGATGCAGATTCTTCATTATTTAAATTCTTCAAAGATAATGCAAGACTCTAACATTTGGTGGCAACAATTTGAAAAGTGATACGCCGTTTATAGTGATTCGACGCAAAATCGCGAAACGAAAACAATAATCTTTCAGGACTTCAGGACTCCTTTGAACTTAAAAAAAAAAAAGGGAGGGACAGTTCTACATCTCCCGTTCTACTGGGCTGATTGACGAAAATCAAATTACGTTTTTCATACCTCGAAAGCGAGAATTAGGATAAATAATTGATTTATATATAGCTTTGTTCTATTTTGACACTTGAACTTTTTCTGAAATTACATGTAATTTTTACATGCGACTCAAATCATGCTTAAATATTAAATTTTATAAAATTTGGTGCGAAATTTATGGAAAAATTCAAAAATTTATCTTGGTGAAATTTTTTTCAGTTTGCGCCAAGAATAATTCACTTGGCAAACTTCTTAATTTATGCCAACTTATTTTCCTTTCCCTTTTTACATTGTGCATGAGAGGAAAAAAAGTCACTTCCTACTTTCAAATAATTTTAACAAAGTGCGTAAACCACATTAGATGTTATTATCGATTTCAATAAATATGCAAAATTTCAAAACCCGCCAATATATAAATTCATGTATATCTTCGGAAATTTTCATTAAAAAGCTCTAACGTTTTGCAGGTGTACTTAGAAATATATCTACTTTAAGATAAAGGTAAAAATTTTATAGGTTATAATTCAAAAATTTTTTCGAAAAATTTATAAAAATTTTTAAAAATACAATGTTAAAAAATAATAATAATAATAAAGGGTGAATTTTATTTGGAATGAACCTAAATTTCGAACTATAAAACAAGGAATCAACTAAGTGTAATAAAGTGAGTTAATAAATACATACCAAATTGAATTAACATTGAGGAGCTGAAAGTTTGAGAGCTAATTTTTTAAAAACTACTCGTGCGATTTTTTACAAAACTTGGCAGATTGGTATAATTTGAAACGTAGGATCAAAATATGAAAAAAAAAATCGTATTATTTGTGAAGGACAGCAGGGATTTATATGACGTAAACGATCGATGTTTGGTTTGTCATACAGAATAGCATAGCTTTTCCAGTTTGGGTATTCTGCATTGTATCTTAATTTTAAAATTTTTCTTAAGAAATGTTATTCACAAGATGATGTTTAAAATACGAATAGTCGGAGATGAGCATATTAAGTTTTTCGAGCTGAGTAGATGACTGACTAGATGATGTACCCTTTGCTGGGCATTAAAATTGTTACACTATGAGGAAAGCAGTTAGTAGAATCATATTTATTTTAAAATTCATTATGATGGTAGTATAAAATGGTTAGCTTTTCAGGTAATTCTGAAATACAGAAATTTCAGAAAAATAAACATCCTGTTGAGGATCCCTTTGCGGCAACAACAGCAGCTGTTATGCGGAATAAGGATAAAGAATACAAGATTTCAATGTTTATTCCTTTCGGAACTTCCGCAGACACTCTGACCATCATGCTAGAAGTGAAAGAGAGATTCGCCAGAAAAGACGACGCCATAGGAATCGTGCATTCGCGTTCGTAATTGAGCGCACCGTTGTAGGTCCTGATTCTTGTGCTGTAACGTCAAGAAAGTCGAAGAAATTGTCGTTGACAGTGGTCCTTTCGTAGACGTCTTCGCATTGTGTGTGGATATTTAGTGCCGTGCAATACATTCAATTTCCTGAATCACGGTACGAGATGAGATGATAGATATCTTCCCCGCATCACTGGTAGGGCCATTAACACGTTGAGCGCGGCGCCGGTCCCTGGGGACCGGCAGTGAACTTTCCGTGTGTCCGGCGTCGGTATCTGGGGACCGGCACTGGAATTTTCGTTTGGCTGGCGTCGGTTCTCGGGACCGGCAGTATTAAAGTTAAAAAATAAATATAGTCTCAATGAAATGTGATCAAATTTAGTTTTAATGAAATGTATTGAAACATTCTAAACAAAAATACGGCTTAGCTCGCTGCCGGCTGAACGGAAAGGACAGCAAATTCGGCGCCGCGCTCAACGTGCTAAAATCCTGTCCTGGGTTCTATATGGCGTGTCTTCCTTGCGCTCCTCGATTACAAGCGCGCATAACAGTCACTGGATCAATGCGAGCAGCAGTGCGCAGTATGACAATCTGATCTGATGTCCCGGTAGGCTACGATTCTCCTGCTTTCCGGGTATCAAGATTGATTTTGGTACGAGTCGATATCTAGTAAGAGTTCCTTTTTCTTACACGCGGAATAATATTACTTTCAATACAGGGAAAAAAAAATAAAAAAATAAATAAATAAAAAATAAACCTCGAATTCTGAATATAAAAAATAGCATATCAATCAAGCATTTTATACTGCTTCGAGGTGTTATAATTCTGGCTTGTAATAGAGAATACCGCTGAACGTTAATCTTTTGCACAGTTCAGCATATTTTACTTTTTATACACATTTCATATTTATTGTTCGCTTCTTTCGTGGTGTCGCAGTTTTAAATGTGCATGTAATGGCCAGCGTATTAATTATAATAGTATAATGAAGTGTAGGATTGTCAAAATACACAATTTGAAACAATATTATGAAAACAAACATTTAAATTTTGACAAAAAATATTTCAGCAAACTAAAAAAAGTACTGGTTACCTTACTTCAGTCACTAACAGCTTAGAAATGTACGTATTTTGATTATTTTTCGATGAATATTTATTTAAATGACAGTGAAATATAAGTTTCACTACATCTGAGTTAATAGCAAACCCAAGCTATCTCACAGACTGTGATTTCTCGAAATAATGCTTTTTAACTAATGTTTCTAAAACACACTGCAGCTAAAATTGTGTAAAAGAATTTTGAAGACATAAATATGGATCATATGATAATGCAAAGATGAAATGCTTATGTTTAAATCACTTTTTGGTTAAAAATACCTTTGATTTTTTATATGAAAAAAACTGAACCTACTTTTTATACATGTGTTTGCTGTTTTAATTGTAATATTTAAAAAGTATAACATTTTTTATATAATTAGCATTGAAACACGTG